TGATTTTCTGTAAAAGTATGCTTTAATTCCTTCATCTTTGTCTTTTGTGTATATCACATATTTATGCAGTGGAGTAACTATGAAGCTTGCATGTAATATAACATTCCACATTAAGCTGGTGATTTCATTCAATTGCATATGAAAGCTCTCCCCACCACAAGTTTTGTTTTTGAGGTTTTTACTACTATGTCTTCATTAATAAATTTATATAACTGTGATTATTTTAGTGCTTTTTTATTTTACCCTTTATACCAGAGTTATAGATCATTTATACACCACTATTTTAGTATTGAGTGTCTTATAGTTGAGTATGCAGTTATTGGACAATGAGTTTTATCCTTTCTACTTGTACTGTGAATAGGCTGGTGGAGATACTAAACTTGCACTTTGAACTTCCAGAACTGTTAGCTAAATAAATCTCTTTTTTCATAAAATGAGACTGCCTCAAGTAGTTGGTTTATAGTAAGAAAAAAATGAACTAGTATACTATCACACGTATAGAATGATCAGAGAATGGTACAGAGTAAATGCTCCAAAAAACAGTCACTAATGCTACTGCTACTACTACCACTGTCGTTTTTATTCTATTAGACTACGTACTCTCTGGGGACCATTTCTCCACGGAGGCTCAGAATTCACTGCAGAGACAGGAGGATGAGGACACTGTTGCAGCTGGGGAGGTTAACTCTATTTGATCCTGCAGGGCAACCTGGAGGGGTGGGCCCCAGGGCCAGACTCCTTGGAATGTCCCTACTCTGAGTAGAATGCACCATCTCTAGCTTGACTGAAACTGTGCATCAGTGTTTGTGCGTGAGCCACGGATAATTCCAAGCTAATCCAAAGATGCGTTTCAAAAAGAAGCGAGCAATTAATCACTGATAGATACAAGTAGAACAGCTGAGAGATGATTTTGCTTTTTTATAAACCTCATTACTTTAGAAATTCATTTTTTCTGAAACCCATGAAAGAGCCAAAGTTCTGCCAAAAGCTGGTATGCAAGAGCCGAAAGGCTGCAGGGACTAAAACCCACAGAAAAGGAAGAATAACCTCAAAAGCTGAGGCTAGTTGGTTCCTTTTTTGTGGGTAAATTAGTCTACTACCAAAGAATACATGTTGGTCAGTAGAATACTAGAAAACCACATAAAGAAAAAGGGGTGCAATTACCTTTTGTTTCCATTTTTGCTTCTTTTTTTTTTTTTTTTTTACAGTGCTAGAGACAGAACCCAGGGCCTTGTGCAAGCTGAAGTGCTCAACCACTGAGCTGCATCCCTATCCTCACCCTTAAGTTTCACAAGCCAAATAAAATTACTATTAAAGTAACTGGCATACTCCCTTTTGTTATTTTTTTTCCTCTACATATTTTACATACTATGGTGTATGTACCACTTTATTTCCTGCCATTCAATATAACATTGTGTTTATTTTTTCACTGACATATAATTATTGTACATATTCATGTGGTAGAGTCACAATCATTACATACGTACACATAGAAGGGTAATTAGCATTTCCACCAGTATTAGTCAGCTTTCTATTACTATTTATGATGAACATTTAAAGAGAAGAGTTTTATTTGGACTCACAGGGTTGGTGGATCCAGTCCACGATTGATTGTCCCCACTGCTTTTGTGCCTGTGGTAAGGCAGCGCATTGTGGCAGGAGAGAGTGATGGAACAAAACTGCTCACCGCGGGGACAGGGGGCAAAAGAGTGAGGAGGGGTCAGGGCCTCAAAATCCTCTTAAAGACCACACCCACCGATGGCCCAAAGTCCACAGCTCCTACAGGCTCTGCCATCTGCCAACTGCTCCCTGCTGGGAACACAGCCTTTGGAGGCGTGTACTGTAGCGCCCAAAGTATAGGACTATCTTCTTCAGTACGTGTCCTTTCTTTGCGTTGGGAACCTTCAAACTCCTGTCTACACTTCTTCATAAAACATATTTTAAGCTTTTGTGAGCCATAGTCATCCTACTGAGCTCTTAGATGAAATCTTCCATTTCTTTTATATAGGTATATTTTTTAAAGCTACAAATAATGGGAATTCACTATAGAAAAATGTTAAATATGAATAAAGCAGAGAATATATTAAACTTTAGTGACATTAAATTCTGTCAAAGTATCCTAAAATAGGAAGAAACTTAACGCCTCTGCCTCCCAGATATATTATTTTTGCATTTTTTTTTATGTTGGGGCTACTGGGGAATCAAACTCAGGACCCTGTGCTTGCAAGGAAAGCAACAGAACCCCTGAGCTAAATCCCTGGTTCTCCCAGACACATTCTTATCATGGGGAGAACTCACTTAGAAACATTTCTGTAGGTACAAAGTGAAAAGGAAATGATCTTTCTTACATAGTACATTTTTACTGTCAGAATTATCTCTTCAAGTAACTGCAACTAAATTTGAATGATCAAATGCATGGATCAGCATACATATGCATTTTTCATTAATTTACAGAACACGTGTAATTATTTATGAAATAACTTTCACAAATTTCTGAAATAGGTCCATATCGGATAATCGTTCTTTTTTAGTGATTCAATTGTATTCCATTTTGTTCATACCACGTTATTATTTAACTAGTTTTCTGTAGATAGATATTTCTCATTTTTACTATGACAGCACTGCAGTGAATACTTATTGAAGTTTTTGTGTGTTTAACACACTCGCGCATGCACCCTCACATCCGTGCGTACGCGCACGCGCGCACACACACACACACACACACACACACACGCACGCATGCACGCTTCTACAGGGAAAGTTCTAAGTAAATTCGTAGTCATGGTATTGAAAGTAAAGGAATAATTCCATCACTTAAATTTTTAAAGTTTGAGATACAATGCCTGTTTCCACGTGTGCTCTCCTTGCGAGCTAGTTTGAACTTTTTACAGGACAGCAGGCTCAGGTCGGTTAGAGACCACTAACATGCTGCCTGAATAAGAGTAGTGATTCCAACCAACAACCTGGAAGTTACAGTGTCATTCCTGACATGGCCTCAGAAACCATGTGGCCCTGCTTCTTCCACAGAATCTGCTCAGATACCAGAAGAGGCACAGGCCCCACCTTGTGATGAGCAGTCCAAGTCACTCTCAGATGGTCCTGCACAATGGGGACATTGTTCCAGATAATTAAAAAAGTTAACCAACCCCGTGCTCCAGGAGGTTTGAGTAAATTTACACTTTTGTACAGTATATTAGAGTACCTATTTCCCAAGCCCTTTGAAAATCTTATTAATTAAAAATGGTTACTTCTTTACTGGTTTATTTTACATTTGCATATCAGTAGCATTAGGTAAACTTTTCTATCTTTATTGTCACCTTAGATTTCTATTCCTGGCACCTGACCACTTACACTCTTTTGTGTTGAATGGTTGTTAATTTTCAGACCAATTTGTAAGTGAAGAAGACTGTCCCTTTCAATGTGATTGTAAATATGTTTTGGATATAGCTCTTCTTTGTCTTCATAGCTTTTTAAATTTTTTGTCATACTGAAAGTTACAATTTGTCTATAGTCACATTTATTGGTGTTTTTATTATAGTTTCTGGATTTGGATCTTGACAAAATCGTCACATTTGCTCCAACATTATTTTTAATGTCCTGTAATTTTTCTGAGATTTGGTTATTTGACCTCGTAATCTGCCCCATACAATGTTATAAGATTGAGTGTCTTGGCAACATCCCCTTCATTGGTACATAATAATTTCTGTGTACTGTTGGATTCTAGTTCTTATTGCTTTCCCTGAGTTGAAGCTTTTCTTCTATGCCAAATTGTCATTTCTTGTGATGATATCTAACTTAACCAAAATTTCAGTTTTTATTTTATTTCTGGTCATTTCCTACATATATAACTACATTTCTGATGCTTTCTAATTCTGATTTGCATGGTATAATTTCTTAATATTTTAAAACTCTTTTGGTGACAGTACATTGCTATTGTGATCTATATTATCTTCCTGCAATATTTTCATTATTTCTATGCAAATTACCTTTCTTTTATTCTTTCCCAGTAACACATTTGTATTACATTCCACTTCCCACTTTTCTGTTGATCATTTGTATAGAACTATTAAGTGGTCAGTGTGGTTTTTCCTAAGAGCTCCCTCTTCTGTTACTTTTGTGAAATGTTTAAAATTTTAGCAAATTATTTTCTGAACTTTCACCCCCTGAAGTGCTGTGGTGCACGTGTGCCACATGGACACACGGAGCCCTCTCTGCTGGCTCATGAGACAAGTTTCCCCACATTGCCCCAGTAGCCGAGCATTCAGGTTTAATTACACTATTGGCACTTTGCGAAAAATAAGTGGGTTTTGGGTTGCAGTTTGGGGACTTGGTCTCTAAAAGTTTCTCCATCACTGCCCTAAAATGATCTGTCCTTTTCTTTCCTTGTCACTTTTGTTTTTATTCTGTTCCACTTTTATTCCATCTGCAACAGTTTCTTCTCACTGCAGTAACCTATCCCCAGAGAAAGTCATGGCTGGTTGGTTTCAAAATGTCTCATACCCTACACCATTCCAAGGACTCTCTGAATTTACAAAGGACCTCACACACAATCTACTACTGCAATGGGCAAAACCCTACCGAGAGTCACCACTGTTCTGCGATTGGCTTTTCAGTTAATACCTCTTGGTTATTTGGGGGCTCTTTGATTTTCAAGTCCTTTGCTGTCCTTTGTGTTCTCCCAGGTCCTTTTCTCCCCTTTTGCTTTAGCAATTACCAAAACTTTACAAAACATTACAAATTCTCACAGCTTGTATATATTTTCCCTCACATATATTTTATAAATGTTAGGAGTTTAAAATGTTAGATGTTAAAATGTAAAAGGTAATTAACTGACATAGGAAAACTGAAAGGGAGAACTGAAAGTGGGAAATTCCTGTGAAACAGAGAGGATCATCCGTTTAAATAGCCCATACCCATGGAGGAAGGACACTCACACTGCAGACCTTTGGAGACTCTGCTCCATTGTCTGGATAACAGGCCGCACTGTTCCAGTTTTCATCATGGCCAACAGGTATATCCTCCAAATCACTCTCCTGTTGTCCTTCTCCACCGTATCTCTTTCTGTAAGCTACAACTTGCTTCAACTCCAACAACGCAATAGCAGTTTGGCCTGTCAGGAGCTTTTGAAGAAGTTGAAAGGAAAGCCTGAATATTGCCACGATGACAGTATGGATTTCAAATTCCCTGAGGAGATCAAGCAACCACAGCAGTTCCGGAAGGAGAAGGCTGCTCTTGTCATCCAGGAGATGCTCCAGAATATCTTGGACATTGTCAGAAGAAGTTTCTCCAACACTGTGTGGGATGAGACCATTGTAAAGAACCTCCTTCTTGAACTCCATCAGCAGATAGACAGTCTGAAGACACTCCTGAAGGAAAAACTGGAGGAGAAGGGCATTACCTGGGAGGACTCCAAGACCATTCCACGCCTGAAGGGGTATTATTGGAGGATCAGGAGGCACCTGAAGGCCAAGCACAGCAGCATTTGTGCCTGGACAGTAGTCCAGGTGGAACTCTTCAGGAACTTTTCCTTCGTTAACAGACTTACAGATTGTTTCCAAGACTGAAGATGGGCCAGCCTTTGCCTTTGGGACAGAACAATGCTTTCAGGAAATTTTCATTAAGTGACTGACAGCAAATGGACTGCATGGGAAAGGACAGTAGGGGGGTTGAAAACCATTTATTAATTTATGAACTAAGTTATTTGTATTCTTTATTTAAATTTTTACCTTGGAAAGTAAATTATTTATGACATAAGGTCAAAGTGGGAGGTTTGCTTTCAACTTTATTTATACAGTCATTGATGATAACATTTAGATGTTCTTTATTAAATATGCCTGCAAAGTAGTATAGTTTCTGGCCCCTGCCTTTGAGGAATTTAAAATTCAAAGAAGCCACAGTAATATACAAGGTTAGTTATGATAAGGGGAACTAACCTTCTAGGTAAATCAGAGTGACATGAACAGTATTGGATTGGAAGAGAAGGGACAAGCAGATGTTCCTAGGACTGGAACATGGGAACTCTCCTCCTACTCTGTGCTCCAGGCTTTCTAGTAATGAAGATAGAATTTGGACGACTTTCTGGGCAGTGGAAGAAGTGAGTCAGCTCTTGCATTCACTCTAAGAACCTTTTGTTATTTGAGGGATGCACTCTTTTCAAAGGATATTAAAATATAGTTTTGACTCCTAGCATAAGGGTAAGAAGTCCCAGGTTCATCTCTGACATTTTTTAAGTGGCTTTATTTTGCTCTTCATAGTAAAATCAGAATGTGTGGGTTTCTTAGAGGAGCTGAGTGTATCTGCTTCCAGGGAAAGGTACCAGGAGGAAGACAACTTTCTTTATGCCCTGGCAATCTGGTTTTTTGTCCCCAGTTTTCTCAAAACCCAAGTCTTCTACTGGCACCATAGCTTGCTCATAGAGAATTTTGGGAATATTCTACCTATTCTATATCTATCTATCTATCTATCTATCCTACCTATTCTTCACACCTCTGAAGCCTCACGCTTGTCCTCAAATCCAGGACAAGCACAGCAGGTAGAATCCAATTTCAAGCCAAACAGAAAGCCATGAAGCAGGAGATAAAGAAATTCAGGTGTATAAAGGAGAACAACTCTTCCCAATGCTTAAACTAGGAAAATCAAGCTTTCCCAAGAGCTCTTTGGATACCTGGCCAACATGTACCAGCTGGCCAGTTTTTGTCTTTGTACTGACCCCTTGGCTATTTCTCACCTGCAGCTACTACTTACTGAAAGATTCTAATGAAACAGGCACTGTGCTGAGCACTATGCCTGGCTTGGATTTGACCCTCTTCACATTCACTCTTAAGTAGGAATCTTTTTTTTTTTTTTTTTTTTTTTTTT